CATACATTGACAGAAAACTTCCAGAGGTTCAAGTTGAATTCAGAAGAGGCAGTGGAACAAGGGATATCATTGCTGATGTCCGATGGATCTTGGCTGAAAGCGGAGAGTATCAGATGTTTACGTGTGCTTTATTGACTACGCAAAGGCTTTTGATTTTGTGGATCATGACAAGCTATGGACAACATTGCTAAGTATGAGTATTCCGGAACGCTTAATTGTGCTCATGAGCAATCTGTACCTGGACCAAGAGGCAGTTGTTTGAACAGAACATGGGAACACTGAATGGTGTAAAATTAAGAAATCTGTGTGACAAGGTTGTATTCTTTCTGATAGCATAGTGGGCTACTAAATGGTGAACTGCTAACCACAATGTCAGCAGTTCAGATCTAACAGCTAGATGCTCTATGGGAGAAAGATGAGGCTTTCAAATGCCTAGGACAAGTTAGGAATGTATGCATACTTAGTCAAACCTATGTAGATGGGGAAAATGTTGAAAATGTAGAGTGGACAGACAATTGAAGTAGGAATTCTGCTAATTTCAGTTCCTGATTTTTTTTTTTTTAAAGCAGCTTTCCAGATTCCCATGAGGGAGAAATTTTTAGTTCAATATAAAAAATGTGACCAGACTGAGTCAAAAGTATGGACTAGGACATCATCTGCAAGGTAGATGATGACTGAAGTAGTGGGTGACAAGGTCATGCACACGAGAGAGCTTGTACTTGGGGTCTGTAAACTTTACATTGGACTAGAAATTGAGCATATACTGTATATTTGATCTTGAAAAAGTTACATATGTTTGATCTCTGAGCCTCAGATTTTTGTCTGTAAAACAGGTGTGCTAAGAGTAAGTACTTCTGGGAGTCTACTCTTTTAAAACTTGTTATTGTGGTTTAGATGCAAATTTACAGAGTAAATTTGTCTTTTATTCAAGAATTCAATTAGGAGTCTACTTTTAATTGGCTTAGGGGAAAAAAACGGACATACTTTGTAAATTGTCAAGCACAAAAAGAAGCATTATCCAGTTCATTGTACAAGTAAGAGTTTCAAGTTACCCAAGGGTAAGCCTTCTGACATGCTCAGGAAACGGGGAAGAAGAAACACAGTTCTTGGTAGTTGTGATCCCATTGATTTTGACTCACGGTGACTCTGTGTATAGAGTAGAATTGCTCCACAGGGTTTTGAAGGCTGTGACCTTTCAGAAGCAGATTTCTGTGCTTATTTTCTGAGGAGCCGTTAGGTGGGTTAGAACCATAAGTCTTTTTGGCTCTTTGTGGGTAGGAAGTGAATAACTTTGAGATGAAGACATCTCAAAGTTTATTGATGATAATTCAGAAGATAAAGATATAGGGAAGCAGTGGAAAAGAACTTTAGAATTAATTGAAGTGGGATTTTTAATAGAGATTTTTTATTACCAGGGGTTCTTTGTTTTCCAATACAAAAGTATTGTTTTTTTTAAACTGTATTGAGGTACTAATTGTCATATAAGGAGCTCTGGTAGCGTAGTGGGTTTGAATCGGGGTGGGGAAAGATGACGCTTTCTGCTCCCGTAAAGATTTACAGCCTCGGAAGCCCTGTACAGTGTTGCTATGAATCAGAACCGACTCTATGGCACATAACTACCACCAACCACCAGTTGTTGTATAGTAGACCAAATAGTCTCTATTTCCAAATAAGGTCACATTTACAGGTGCTGGGGATATGGGCCTATTTTTTTTGTAGCAACATAATTCAACTGACTACATTATCATTGTTATTTGTTGTTGTTGAGCACCATTGCATTGGCTCCGACTTATAGCAACCCTGTACAGGGTTTCTGAGAAGCAGCTGGTGGGTTTGAACCACTGACCTTAAGTCCAGGACTTATTCTTCAGTGCCACATCAGGACTATTAATATTGTTGCTAAGTACCGTGGAGTCGGTTCCTACTCATAATGACCCTGTATAGGGTTTCCATGGCTACAAATCTTTATGGGAGCAGAAAGCCTCATCTTTCTCCCGTGGAACAGCTGCTAGTTTCAAACTGCAGACCTTGAGGTTAGCAGCCTGATTCGTAACCACTACGCTACCAGAGCTCCTATTGTTAGGTAATATTAATAATAGACCACTAGCCTTTATAGTGTGTACTGTATGCGATGAGTTATGTAGCACTAATTCATTTAATCCTTCAGCAGTCTTATGAGGTAGACATTAGAATTGTTTTTAAATGCTGTTGAGTCAGTTCTGACTCTTAGTGACCCTGTATAGGGTTTCCAAGGAGTGTTTGGTGAGTTTGACCTGCTGATCTTGCTGTCCAGTGCTTACTCTACAATGCTACATCAGGACTAGTGTTACTTTGTGTTGCCTTTTGTTAAGCAGTTGGGTCTTCTCACTCTTTTTGCCCCAGTTGTGTTTGCAGTCAAAGTCTATTAAGGAATATTAGACCTAGACAGATAACATGACAGTTGTTGTTTGTTGTTGGGTGCCATCGAGTTGGTACTGACCTATAGTGACCTTATGCACAGCAGAATGAAACACTGCCCAATTCTGGGCCAACCTCACTACTGTTGCCACGCTTGAGTCCATCGATGCTGCCACTTGGCCAATCCATCTCGTTGGGGTTCTTCCTCTTTTTCTCTGACCCTCCACTTTACCAAACATGTTATCCTTCTCCAGCGATTGGTCCCTCCTGACAATGTGTCTGAAATATGAGAGACGAAGTTTGGCCATCTTGGCCTCCAAGGAGCACTCTGGCTACACTTCTTCCAAAACAGATCTGTTGGTTCTTTTGGCAGCCCATGGCGCTTTCAATGTTCTTCTCCAGCACCATAACTCAAAAGCATCAATTCTTCTATGGTCTTCCTTATTCACTGTCCAGCTTTCGCATGCATATGAGGTTCTTGAAAATACCATGGCTTGATTCAGGTGCACCTTAGTCCTCAAGCTGACATCTTTACTCTTCAACACTTTAAAAAGGTCTTGTGCAGCAGATTTGCCTAATGTAATAAGTCATTTAATTTATTGACTGCTGCTTCCTGACCGTAGGATCAGTGTAATCACGAAATTGTTCTGGGTTTTACTAGTTCAAAAATTCATTCATGCAGATGTATTAGATGAAGGAAGAGACCTTGAAGTTGATAATGAGAGGGGAAGAGGAATTCCTTTTCATTTTTGTATTTCTTGTTGTTGTTAAGTGCCATCGAGTCGGTTCCGACCCATAGCGACCCTGTACAGGGTTTCCGAGGGTGTAAATCTTTACGGGAGTAGAAAGCCTCATCTTTCTCCCGCAGAAATTAAAGCATTCATATGTGTTCATGAACTATGCATTTTCTAAATGTTTTGTGGTCTGTGTAGTTGTGCTCAGAAAGTTTATTGAACCTGTCAAGGTAGGGAAAATGTTTAAAATGTGGTTCTCTTGAGGTCATCATCTATCTTAATTTATCCACTTGGAACTTATTTTTTGACTTATTTTCATTCTAGCAGAAAATCCCAAGTTTGGAATGCTGGCCTCTAACATGGAGAGAGAAGTGGGGAATGCCAGGAAGAAGTCAAGAAAGAGAGAGGTGAAAAGAGGAAAGGGAGCCTAGAGGAGATCTCGTTTCAGCGTTACCTATGTATACCCATTAAGACAAAGAATATGCATTTGAAGGAAGGTTTGGGTTAGTGCAGTTATAAGGCTTACCATCTAGAAATACAGACCATAAAAGGACAAAAAATAGGATTGCCTTATAAATTTCCATTACTTTTTTATGCCTACCTGACGTTGAAATCTGTACTAATTTTCTATTCTCCAATGAATGATTTTCTAGATCAAGTCCAAAGGAAATTAAGGTAGTTTGTTTTAGTAAGATGCCTTTAGCAAGCTTTCGTTTAAGCAGAGAGGTATGCTGTACTCATTTTTTATTCTGTCAGATTGTATCTATGTGTCCTATATCTTCAGATGAGATTATTTTTATAAGCATAATGAATTATTGTTTGTTTTTATAAAGTTGTTGTTAAGTGCTGTCAGGTTACTTTTGATTCATAGCATTCCTGTATATGGTTTCCAAGGAGCAGCTGGTAGTTTTGAACAGCCAACCTTGTGGTTAGTAGTCCAGTGCTGATCCTGAAGCACCACACCATGAATTGAATGATAGTTTACATAGGAGAACATCATTGGTTGTGCACTCATCCTGCTGTATTTTGTTTCATTGCAGTGATTACAATCCCTGCCATACATCATCATTTAACAGTATTTGCTTCTATTCCATCTGTTTTTTGTTTTGATTTGTTTTTATGTATTCACAAAAACACTCAGGAATATATAATCAACCAAAGGGCGCATTCTGCAAGCATGCCTCCTGGCTGCCAGCATACAGCTTTTCTCTTTCATGAGTCTAGATTCCTCAGCTGCTCTATCTCTCCATGACATCGTCTTTGCCTCCATCTCTGGTGTCGCTGCTTCTCTGGATAGGGCCACACATCCCGCTCATGCTCTTGTCCCTTGATGGTCCTAGGGACACCAGGGCTCCTTTTATAAACTTGTTATTGTTGTTGTTAAGTGCCTTCGAGTCTGTTCCTATCTGGGGGGGGGGGCCCTTTATAGGGTTTCTGAGGAACAGCTGGTGAACTTGAACTGCTGCCAACCTTGCGGTTCAAACTGACTTTGTAGTCCAGCATATTAACACTCAGTGCCACACCAGGACTCCATTTATAAAATGTTGTTGAGTGCCGTTGAGTCTGTTCCGACCCATAGTGACCCTGTATAGGGTTTCTGAGGAGCAGCTGGTGAGCTTGAAGCGCTGAACTTGCAGTTCAAACCGACTTTGCAGTCCAGCACATTAACCCATAGCACCACACCAGGACTTCTTTTATAAAATAGAGACCTGCAATATGATAGTAATGACATTGCTAGAAATACCATGGGATAAGTCATACTTCCTGAAAATCATGAAATAGTTGACCTGCCACACTAAAAGTTGTTGCTTCTTCACGTGCCCCAAATCAGCATATATTTATAATTATCAGCATTTCTTTTTTATAGATGGAGCAGTTTGGGAAAGAATTGTAAATTGGCATAGTGACTGCAAAGCCTGGTCATTCCTGCACCCGTTTCTCTAGCCTCATCTGGTGTCTCCTTGCTTTTTGTTTGGTCACACTGAACTTTTCGTTCCTTGAAATGATTAAACCCCTTTCCACTGCAGTGCCCTGGTACATGCTATTTCTCTGTCTGGAAGGCCTTCTGGTCTTCTTTCATCTGACTCACCCTTTCAGGTCTCAGCATAAATGCTACTTCTTCAGGCAGGTCTTTCTTTCATTGCAATGATTACAGTCCCCTCCATGCATCATCAAACAACCAAAGGGTACACCCCGCAAGCCTGACCCCTGGGCCGTCAGCACACAGCCCCTCTCCCTCCCTGAGTCCAGAGTCCCCAGCTGCTGCATCTCTCCATGTCAGTTCTTTCTTACCCCTTCAATTATGTGTGCCCTCCCATTTTCTGTACTTTTACTTTTTTATTGTAAAACTGCTAATTTTATAATGAAGTACTTTTGGGTGGCTGTTGTTATTGATAGTGGTGGTAGGAGATGTGTTTTATTCAGTCTCCTACTAAGAAGTGGTAGTTCAATAAGCGTGTATTGATTTATTGATTAAAAGCCTGGTATTTGCTTCATTTGTATTCTGTGGTTGGTGTATTTACCTTATTATGTTTTTTCACACCACTAAAGTGTTGTTTTGTTTTGTTTTCCCCTTAAGAGTTTGACTGAGTTGGAAGCATTATGTACTCACCTCTATATAGGAACTGACCTTTCGCAAAGAATCGAGGCTGAGAAAGCACTCCTGGACCTGATTGACAGCCCAGAATGTCTCAGCAAGTGTCAACTTTTATTAGAACAAGGAACAGTAAGTCTTTGATAACAGTGATTGACCACGAAGGATCAGTAACTCTGTCAGTCGTAATGAAGTGGTGTGTGCTAGCATTGGTAACTGATAGATATTGCCACATGTGTTTTCACTCTAGTGTATTTCACTGTCAAAGAGATTAATCTAGGAAGGAATTGAAAAGCTTAGAAAGTACACTTAGTGAAGAGCCCAGGAGGTGAAAATAGTGGTTTGGGCTGGTTCATTTTTCTGTTTCATACCAGTGGGCAAATACTACCCTTTAAAAAAGCTGAATGAAACAACGGTGTGTGTGTGTTTTCTAAGTCTAGGTTGGGGAGGCAGGTTGTAATTAACTCTTTTTGAGACATGCAGGAATGATTCAGAGGGATGCTGACTACCACTTGCCTGTCTGCCTTCTAGAAATTCAGAGCCATTCATTCAGCAATCCTGTGTCAAAGACTTAAATGTCAAACCAAGCATTGAACTGCGTACTTGGTTTACATACAGTCCTTAAAGTAGCTCATGGTTTAGTTGGGGAGGCAGAGGTATATAAATATAGAGCTATGAAATGATATGGCAAGCATTACAACAAGGGAGCCTGAATTATATGAAAAAGAACATGGCATGAGGATTGGAGAAAGATTCATAAGCAATTTGTCAATATGCAGATGATAAAACCTTGCTTGCTGAAAGTGAAGAGGACTTGAAATACTTCCTGATAAGGATCAAAGACTATAGCATTCAGTATAGATTGCACCTCAATGTAACAAAAACAAAAATCCTCACTACTGGACCAATAAATAGCGTCATGATTGGAGAAAAAAACCTGAAATTGTCAAACACTTCATTTTGCTTGGATCCCCAATTAACACTCATAGAAGCAGTAGGCAAGAATTCAAACGGCATATTACATTAGATAGATCTGCTGCACAAGACCTCTGTTTAAGAGCAAAGATACCAGTTTGAGGACTAAGGTGCATTTATTTCAAGCCATGATATTTTTAATTGTCTCGTATGCATATTAAAGGTGAACAGTGAATAAGGAAGACCATAGAAGAATTGATGCATTTGAGTTATGGTGTTGGAGAAAAAGAAGAATAAACAAATCTGGATAGAGGATAGCCAGAATGCTCCTTAGAAGCTAGGATGGCAAGACTTCGTTAGTTATACGTTGGACATGTTGTCAGGTGAGACCAGTCTCTGGAGAATGACATCATACTTGGTAAAAAGGAGGGTCGGCAAAAAAAAGGAAGACCTCCAATGATATGGATTGACACAGTGGCAGCAGCAATGGGCTCAAGCATAACAAAAAATGGTAAGGATGGTGCAGGGCCAGCAGTGTTTATTCTGTTGTGCATGGGGTCACTGTGAGTTGAATCTGACTTGATGGCACCTACCTGGTGCCATGGTCTAGAGCAGAGATCAATAAACTTTACCTGTAAAAGGTCAGATTGTAAATATTTTAGGCCAAGAGGCAAATTTTAGGATATTTTGTAGATACTTTAATAACAAGGAAGAAGATAAGTTTTCAGAAAGTTTTATTGATGAAATTCAAAATATAACAATAGTTGAATACTTATTTTTTGTAGTATGTTGTTGCTGTTAGTGCCGTCGAGTCGATTCTGACCCATAGTGATCCTGTATAGGGTTTCCAAAGAGCAGCTGGTGAACTTGAACCACTGACCTTACAGTTCAATTGACTTTGCAGTCTGACCCATTAGCCCACAGTGACACACCAGGACTCCTTTTGTAATATAGACCTGTTAATAAGAAGGTGTTGTACTGAAGGATAATGCACTGGACTGCACGGTCAGTTTGAACCTCAAGGTCAGCAGTTTAAAGCCACCAACTGTTCCTAGGAAACCCTGTACAGGGTCACTGAGTTGAAATCGACACAATAGTGCTTAACAACGGCAAAGAGAAGGATGGAATTAGTCATTTAGGGATTAATAGAGATGGATTGGCCAAGTGGCAGCATCAGTGGACTCAAGCATGGCAACAATAGTGAGGTTGGCTCAGGATCGGGCAGTGTTTCGTTCTGCTGTGCATAAGGTCACTATGAGTCGGTACCGACTCAATGGCACCTAACAACAACAACACGTATGCATAATTGGGGTTCAAAGTTAGTGTTCTCTATTATAAACATTGATTGCAAATTTTTATATGGTAGTACTCTTCTGTAATGAGATTTTACTAATTTTATCTTTAAAACTATCTTTTCTCACAGATGATACTGCCAAATAGTTATATCTGTCATGAACAAATAATTTTATAAAATGGTTTTTATTTTGTTTATTGTTGTTATGGCTATACACAGCAGAACACGGAGCAGTGCAACTACTTTTACATGTACAGTTTAGTGACACAGATTGCATTCTTCCCAGTGTGCAAACATTCTTATCCTTCTTTTCTGAATTGTTCCTCCCCCATTAACATTAATTCACTGCCCCCTAAGTTTCCTATCCAAACTTTGTAGTTGCTGTTGTCAGTTCGATCCCTTATAGACAGATTTTAAAGAGTACAATACTCATGGCAGATATTCTATGCTAGTTAAGCAAAACTATTACTGGTTTTAAGAAGACTTCCAGGGTTGTTTTGGGTTTAAAGTTTAATGTTTATCTCATGGCAGTGATTTCAGGGGTTCATTCAGAATATCGGCTCCAGAAAGTCTGCATTCCATGAGAATTTGTAATGCTGATTTTGCATTTTTACCCTTTTGCTCAAAATTCTTCTAGCAAACCTTTAATGAAAATGAGCAGTCATGGTAACTGGGTGTTACCCAGTTCTTCTGGTCTCTTGGTAAAGTAGACAGTTGTTTATGGAGGCAATTAGCTGCATTTTCCATTTCTTCTCATGAGCATGTGATTTTACTTGATGACATTCAGCATTCAGAAGACATTTATGAAATTCCATCAGATCTTTTCTTGATATTTGCCTTTTAGCATGCCATCAAATTGCAGATAAATCACTTTAAATCAAAAGTTATGGGAAGGCTCTGCAATTGCACAGTTAAATGGATTTTGTAATATGGAATTTTCATTGTACTTGCATCAAGATCTGAAAAATCCTGCTGGAGCTGTAATTTGAACTTAGAAAATAATTTGGTTGGGTATGGTGTTATCACTAATTGTTTTAACTTTTGACATTATGGGAAGTGTATGAAGTAGCTTGACATTATTATATGCAATTCAAACATATAGTAATCATTGAAATAACTTTGTGCAGTATAACCTCTAAGCACTGGTTACCTTTTAGGAAGTTTTAGTATTTTAGGTTAAATTCATTAAGCTATGTTATCAAGTGTTCAACAAAAGCTAATTTCCAAACGATATAGTATTTAGTATGCACAGTAGTGTTTGAGGGCATTTCTTCTCCTTCAGAAAAAAAATCAGTCGTGAACTCAAAAACATTGCCACTATTATTAAGCTGTTGAATATGATGTGATAGGAAAAGTCTGGATATTTAGCTTTTATTTCTAGCAGAAATTCATATAATTGAAGATAAGTCAACAAAATGAAATGCAGTCTGTTTTGGTAACACTATTAGTGTTAAGTGCAGTCAAGATGGTTCTGACTCATAGAGACTCATGCACAACAGAATTAAATACTGCCCAGTCCTGCGCCATCCTTACAGTCATTAAACTTGAGCCCATCTCCTTGGGGTTCTTCTTTTTAGATGACACTCCACTTTACCAAACATGATGTCTGTCTCCAAATTGGTCCTACCTTATAAATATTCAAAGTATAAGAGATGAAAAATGGCCATCCTGGTCTCTAAGGAGCATTCTGGCTGTACAGAGATTTGTTTGTTCTTCTGGCAGTCCATGATACATTCAGTGTTCTTCTCCAGTACCGTTACTCTAATGTATCAATTTTTTTAGGATCATTCTTATTCACTGTTCTACTTTCACATGCATATGAA